CTCTATGTAAAAAAAAAGCCAGTCACAAAGAACCGCATAGTGTATGATTCCATTTACAGGAAAAGTCCAAAAGAGGCAAATCTATAGAGTCAGAAAGTACATTAGTGATCGTCTAGGGACGAGAGGGATGGGAGCGGGGTGTATTGGGAGTGGGAGCGGGGTGGGTATTGGGAGATGGGGTTTCTTTTTAGAGTCATGAAAATGTTCTAAAATTGGTTGTCATGGTGATTTCTCAACTCCGAATGTATTGAATTGTGTTCTCTCCACGTCTGGTGTGTGAATTATAGCTCAATGGAACGGTTAAAATGGTCCTTCCGCTTAGTGATGTGTGACCTCGGGCCAGCCACTCACCTCTCTGCACCTGGACTTCCTCCCCTGTAGATCGGGGGTACAGGATCACGGCAACAGTCACACAGGTTGGCCCGTGTCAGGCGCTGAGGACAGGGCCTGGGACCCCCAGGAAGCTCTCAGAATGCGTTCGCTGGGGTAAGATCTGCACACACCATCCAAACATCTTCCCTTAAACCGTATTTTAGCAAAATGGTACAGTCTTTTCTCCATCTCCGCCTCCTTCCTTCCTTCCCTCCTTCCTCTTTTTCCAGCAAATGAGAACTAGTCATAATGACCCCAGGACCTTTTCAGGAAGATGCGGCAGGTTCTCAGATCCTGACCAGTCGCCCCCCCACCCCCTGGTTTTCAGGGCTGGTCTCATACTACACTGAAGCCTCGGTATCCGGTATCCGTGCATTTATCCATCTTGTCTCCAAGGCTGAGGGTCGCTCCTTTCTGCAGCCCTGAGTTTTAACCCTGAGCAGGAACAGAACTTTGTGGGTGTTGCTGGCCGTCTCTCCAGACAGCAAATACCTGCTTCCGGTGAAGGTCACGTTCACAGACCGGCATGTTCGCGTCTCAGGATGCTCTCCAGGTTTTCATTTCCTCTTGTAAAAAACAAACATGGGAAGAACATTATTATTTTTCGGGAAATAGATGGGAGCGCTCGTCATTCTCTGGTTTTTAAAGGGAGAAGCGCCGAGTTGACGCTTAACGGGGCAGCTGTGAAACGGCACCTCGTTCCCCCGGGAGAATGTCACAGCCCCGGTCGTTAAAGTCCCCGTTAAAGTTGCATTGGACGTCCTGAGCGCACTCCTCCCTCCACAGACAGCTTTTCAATAAAAGCAACCGCGTATCTTCAGAGACTATAAGTGGCACACGTGACAGGCACGTTTGAATCGCTGTCACAGCGGAGCTGCCGGCTTCGATCTGTGCGGAGCTGGGATCGCGACCCAGCGGACAGGAGTGTCCGAGGCGGCCCGAGTCCTCCTCGGTTTTCCTGGGAAGTGGCCCAGGAGGTCCGGCTTTCGGCCATCGGGCCTCTGCCAAGTGTCCTCATCCCCGGGCCCTCAGCGCTCATGGTGACTGAAGCTGTGTGTGCCCTGGGACAGGCTTTGTCACCCACAGGAAAGCAGAGCAAGTGTCACAGCCCAGTGGACAGCGGCCGTGAACCAGGGAGAAAGGGAAGGGACTCACATCCCAGGGTCCTCCCCTGTGCCAGGCACCTCTCCGGGCGTTACCTGTCATAAATCTATCACCTGGCCTTCCCGAGGGGAGGTGACTAACTCGCACCAAGTTACAGGATTCGGTGCCCGAGCGGAGGCCTTCTGCCATTTTTCACATTTCTCTCATCCAAGTCAAGTAAATTTTTTGAAAAAACATGCATCCTGTTTTGAAGAATGTGATCTGGAGATGCCACTGTTTCTTTGTGACAAATAGGTCCCACATGAGAAGATTTCACAAGATCTTTGCCGAGTTTAAATCTTGGCCAAATCGAGACTTGACTAGAAACTGAATTCTTGGATAGAAGCTGAAGCTTCTCAGAACTGTAAACGTCGGGGGATGAGGGGGTTGGTTAGCAAATCAGAGTACCCCAAAGATCTCTGGCATTCATGAGTATGTTAGCTTACATGCCAAAGGGAAGTTAGGGTTGCAGACGGAATTAAGGCTGTGTTACGGGTTGAGTCATTCGTGTCCCCCCAAAAAGACGGTGCGGCCCTAACCCCCCAGGACCCCAGGATGTGACCATCTGATTTGGAGAGAGCGTCACTGCAGATGCGACGAGTTCAGACGAGGTCACACCAAAGTCGAGTGAGCTGCTCGTCCAGTCTGACTCATGTCCTTATAAGAAAATGGCCATTAAGGACACAGAGACACAGGGAGAATGCCACCTGAAGACCGAGGCAGAGATTGGAGCAATGACTCCGCAAGCCAAGACACCAAGGCACGCCGTGGATTGCCGACTGTCCCCAGGGCCTGGGAGAGAGGCACGCAGTGGCCTCCCAACACTCCTCAGCGGGGACAGACCCTGCCCACACTTTGACTTTGGACTTCTTGCCTCCAGCGCTGTGAGTGAATGCATTGTTTTTTTCTAAGCCACCCGATTTCTGGTACGTTCTCCAGCAGCCCTAGTAAACTCGTACAGGTAGTTAACCATCTGGCCTTCAAGTAGAGAGATTATCCCGGATTATCAGAGTAGGTCCGTTAGAATCACAAGAGTCCTTAAAAGCTGAAGAGAGCGGCAGAAGAGAAGGTTAAGCATGTGAGAAGGACCGAACTTGACATCGCTGGACTGAACCTGACATTGCTGGACCGAACTTGACATCGCTGGACTGAACTTGACATTGCTGGCTTTGAAGATGGAGCCACGGGCCAAGGAGTCAGGGCAGCATCTAGCAGTGGAAAAAGGCAAGGAAACAGAATCTCAAAACAGAAGGAACCAGCCCTGCCAACACCTTGATCTTCGCCCAGTCAGAGCCACGTCAGATTTCCAACCTCAGAAATGTAAGATAATAAATCTGTGTTGTTTTGAGCCACTTAGTTTATGGCAATTTACTGTAGCAGCGGAAAAAAAAAAAAAAAAAAAGAATCCAGGGCTTCGGGGAGCGACGGAGCTGCCCAAGGACAGTTGAACTTGAACTATGTGCTGAGGGGCTGAGTCGTGTCCCCCCTGAGTCCACAGGAATGCGGGTCGGGGGGCCTGAGTTAGGGAAGTGTTAACGGTGGCTTCCTCGAGAATTATATAGTTTTATTGCTTCTGAGAAGAGCTGCTAAATCAAACGTGGCTAATAAATGTCACTCTGAAGGTTTTTAGGGGACATAAGTGAAAAAAACTATCAGGCTCAAGTTGTAATTGTAATAAAATTGTTTTATGGAACTGTAGCTCCCTTCCCAATTACTGGATGTGGAATTAACAGCGTTTTACCCCGATATCCGGTCGCGTGTCGCTCCATGGGCGCCCGCCTGTGTCCCCACAGCCCTGCGCTCACCTGCGGCTGGACAGCGAGCCCCCGTCACCGACCGTCTGGCTGGTTCTGTATGCTCTGGTTTAGTACGTTATGTCCTGTGTACGTCGTTCATTGGTTTACCATCTGTCCCCATTGGAATGGTCAGACTCACTGCCTCATCATCAGAACCTAGAGCTGGGCCTGGCGCGTGGGACGCCCTCAGGGACTGCGCCGTGCAGGGGTGGATGGACAAGCTACGCAGCTGGGACCGGAGAGGAAGAGCAGGTCGGCACCCTCGGGGACCCGTCAAAGGAACCCACCACAGACGTCTCCAAATGGCGGCGTGGTCAGGTGGAACTTGGGACTGTTTGACAAATGGGGGGGAACTGGACGGTCATCAGAGCTGGCCGTCTGGACTGAGCCAGCTTGTCAAGCAGGGAGCTCCCGGGGTTCGTGCAGGGACCAGCCGCAGAGAGTCCTCTAGTGTCCCAGAAGGGCATTCGGATGCCCGTTTGTGTCCCGAGGAACCATGGTTCCCAATCCTCTCAGCTTCTTCCAGCACCGCGAGGCCAGCAGAGACTCGGAGAGCGCCGTGGCCCCCGAACGTCAGGCCGGCGAGTGAGCGTTAGTTGAGCGTTTACTGAGGCCTTGGCAGCTTCGTCTTCCCACCACCCACCAGTGGCCTTCTCGAGCGTGACAGTCCGCACTCAGGAAGGCCGGCCACTCTTCGGAAAGCGGGCCACCTGGTCCTGGTGTGTTCAAGCTGGCACCGAGGTGTCTTGTCAAGAGCTGCACCAGCCAGCTTCAGCTGCGGTGACGACGCCCCATAGTCTCAGTGGCTTACGGCGGGGTCGTAGCTGCAGAGCTCACCGTTGGGGCATCCCTGCGTTGGGACCAGCTGTTCCCACGCAGAGGGCAGGACACAGGGAGGCAGGGCCGAACCGCGTAATGACACCCAAGGCTTCTGCGGGGACCCAGCCAACTTCCTGTCCACTCACACCTTATTGGACAAAGCATGTCACGAGGCAGTGGGTGGGAAATGTCATCCCACTGCGAGGAGAGTGACCACTTGGGGACAGGGACTTAATCTGCTATAGATATGCTGTGTTCATGATTTCGGTGGCGAGGAGGCCATCGACCCACTCGGCGCAGCTTGCTCCCTGTGCTCCGACGCGCTGGAGTAATTTCTAAAGCAGACCGATGGCAAAGCTCTCTGCGTCCGTCCGCCTCCCTCACGTGGTGCAGGCAGAGGGCCCTCCGGGGAGCTGGCCTCTCACTCACTGTCCTCTCTCTGTCTCTCTCCCTTCTGGGCAGGTGGGTGACCGGCCCGTGGAACCCCTGCTCAGCCACCTGTGAGAAAGGCATCCAGCACCGGGAGGTGACCTGCGTGTACCAGCTGCAGAACGGCACACACGTCGGCACACGGCCACTCTACTGCCCAGGTCCCCGGCCCGCGGCCGTGCAGAGCTGCGAAGGCCAAGACTGCCTGTCCGTCTGGGAGGCATCTGAGTGGTCACAGGTGGGTGTCAGGGCTGCCGCCGGTGGCCTCGCCCGTGGGGACCCCAACCTGGTACCTTTTCCTCTGTTGTGTTTGTGGCGTGTCCCCACCTGTCCTAGCCCTTGCCAGCCCCCGGATCGACTCAGAGCAATCTGCCAGCTCACGCATTCTTAAATTTCATCTGAGATAACCCCGTGGCTAAAAAATATGGAATATTGTATTTTTGATAACATATACCACAGTACTTTCAGACTCATGTCTTTTGAAAATTCTCATACAAATATGGACGGATGGATGAATAGGTAGGTAGGTACATGATAGACAGACAGACAAGACAGACCTGCTGACTTGACACCCTCTGCACATATTGGGGCCGCCGTGCACTCCGACTGGGGAGTGGAGTCAAGACCCCTGGAGGCTGTCTTTGCAGAATGCAAGCGGCAGGCAGCTGCTGGGTGGGGCAGCTTTTACTGTGCAAGTCCGAGTCATAAATCTCATGCCATAAACCGTTTTTTTTGGAAAGAGGTAAATTAAGCCTTAAGTTTTTAACTTCGCAGAACTGATCCCGGAAATATCACTTTATCTTAAGTGATCTCATCCTCCTGGGCTCTGCATTGACTCTGCACTAATGATTTGGATTGTTTGGCTAGAAAACAAACAAACAAACAAACAAAAAAGAGCTGAATAAAGGGCCAGCTCCCTTCAGGTCCTCGTCAGATGTGCTCTGGGAAGTCAGACAGGCTGGTTCCAAGGCACTCCTCAGTGTGGAAAACATTTTTAAAGTTCCTTTTTGTTGCCAAACAGTTGGAATTATTTTGAATAAGAAAGTGTTCAGCCTGTTCTTACAGAAGGAAAATCCTGCCCTTGGCTCTTCTAAAACCTTTGCTTTTCAGACAGATTTTGACATGTAACAGTTTAAAGACCTGAGCGTTTAACCTGCCCTTTATGACGTTTTAAGAAAAGAAGAAAATTTAAAAAAAAAAAAATTTTTAACTTATATGTACTTAGGTTTAAGTGTAACATTGAAGGGACCTTTTCGGGGGAGGGGACATGTGTCCAACCCCCGCCTCCCATGAGCCTTAGGGCCTTGATCACCTGGCTCTTGATCCACACAAGATTTATGCTTTAATCAGATCAAAACCATAACTTTTCCATTCAGGCTCTTTGCTATGAAAAAAAAAAAAAAAGCCTCTTTACCAAAATAACCGAGCCCGACGTCATCAGCTATCATCTTCGGATTAAAGAACGCCAAAAAGTGAGACAGTCAGAACAAGATTTATAGAAACACCTCTGTCCCTGCGTCTGTGTGTCTGACCCTGCCTGATTCTGGTCCTGAAATAGCATCCACGCCAGTCGGTCTGACTCCGGCTCGGCCAGAGTTCCAGCA